TAAATGCTTATTCCCTGAGCAGGGAATAAGATTGAGGTATGTGATGTTCCCTGTTTTTAATGCATATCTCTTTCTCTCCCTTCCTCCCTCCCTCCCTTCCCCCCTTTCTTTCTCTCTATCATTCTGTGTAGGCATGCTGGCTGGTGTCTGGGGATGTGAATGCTCATGTACATTTGTGTGCGGATGATGGTGTGCTATTGACTAAGGATCTAAATAATTTGCAACAAATGTTAGATTGTCTGATGCAATGATGACCATGGATCTGAAAATTAATGTAGTCCGATATAGATGTATTTGACAAGAATATGAAATGAACAATTTTAGTGATTAAAAACTAGAACAAGATGGGGGTAGGGTGGGGATGATGATGATGATGATATCACCTTGGTAGAATTTTGGGAAATAGAGGAAGAAATTTTAACATGCTGGGGAAAAGGTACTGGTGGTATATGGTCTGTGTGAGGAATGAATGATTGTGGAAAGGGAGAAGAAAGCTGAGTGTAAAATGTGCTTCTCCCAAATTTTACAAGTAAGTATGTTAGATGACACATAAATTGAATGATGTGGTAATGAAGTACTTAAGAAGTATGTATAGTAACATAAGTAGAGATTGATCAAGAATGGATGGATGCTGAAGGAATGTGCTAAATGATCAATGTGAAAGGGATACACTAAAATAAATATATGAAATAACAGTGATTGTGTCAAGAGGGAGCAGAAGAAGGGAAAAGTCATGTTTGGATTGAGTTAATGAAAGAAGTGAGAAATTTAAAGGATAAAAAAGAATGTATAAAGGAGATTATGAATGAGAGCACATAAGCTTTACAAGAACAAAAAGATATGGAGAAGTCTATTGAATAACTGCTTTCCTTTCTTTTCCTTTCATTTCCTTTCCTCTCTTCTCCTCTCCTTTCCTTTCTTTCATTTTGCATAAGGTTGTAAAGGGAATAGCATGATATGTAAATTTATGGATTTAATGCATGTATTTTTGTTTAAATGTACAATTTAATTCATTAATTATTTTGACAGGCAAAATAAATCTCTACAATTAAAACAAGTTGAAGGGGGGGGCGGGGAATGAAGGTAATTTTGCTGGCCAAACAAGAAATAGACTAAATGATGGTTTACACTTATGGTCATAAGGCTTATACTTATGGTCATAAGGCTGATCTTATGAAGTGGCTGGGCTTGTGTAATTGCAACCAACATATCACATACAGTTCTTCCTCTGAAGGTCTGGAAAAGATTCTGAAATATTCAATTCTTGTAGCACTGGAAACAGGATCATCCACCAAGGAAGAATCAAAACATAGAAGTAAGCAGCCACAGCAACACAATCAAAACCATGGCCCTTTGTATAGGCATAGAATATTGATGCTTATATAAAAGGGGTAAGGTTTGATTGTGTGGTTACAACCACCATCTTGACTGACCATTCCATAGATGCACTTGAGTGGAATTTTAATTGTCTATCTGTAACAGCTGTGCAAAATCTCAAGTGACTATATAGGAAAAACAGAAATACAACCCAGTTCCTATGTTGTAGAGCACTAAATCCTATATGGTTCCTTTTCGTTGATTTAATTTGAATAATTAGGAAACTATACATTCTGGTTTTGCTAGGTTAATCCTAGTTTTAGATGAGGTGTCCTAGTTTTAGATGAGGTAAACATGAAAAATAAATCAATTTTCAGGGCCCAATCCACCTGGCTGTAGCCCAAGTCTGCATTTGCTGCTCATTATGTTTGCATGATATCTTGAGTTCTTGATGTAGATTATGTGATAGCAGTAATATTTATAGAAATGGCATTTCATTATGAGGCTCTCTTGAAATACCTCCTAGAAGAATGGAAAATGGATGTGGAAAAGAAGATCTGCTTTATTCTCCACTTTCTGACTGATAGATAAGGGAATCTCTTGTTGGGCTACTAGATTTGGTCTGCATTAGTGTTAGTATTTTCTGTATCTATTTCCTGTCCTACAGTGGCCATTGGCATGTTAGCACCGCTGATTTGGTGGGTGTAGTCTGTTGTTTTGTTTGTTTCTTAGTCATTAAGAGCATTTTATCCTGACATGGTTTTATCATAATGTAAACGTGCAATAGTGAGCACAAAGTATCTGGAATTACTGAAAGACTAAGAAGAAGAAGAAGGAGGAGGAGGGGGGGGAGGCGGGGGAGGAGGAGGAGGAGGAGGAGGAGGAGGAAGAAGAAGAAGAAGAAGAAGAAGAAGAAGAAGAAGAAGAAGAAGAAGAAGAAGAAGAAGAAGAAGAAGAAGAAGAAGAAGAAGAAGAAGAAGAAGAAGAAGAAGAAGAAGAAGAAACAACACTTGCAAACATTTAGGTCCAATTATAGTGGGGGTGGGATTTCTCTCTGAAACTTTTATTTGTGTTAGTAAATGTATACAAATTAATACATCCCTCCAGAAGATCTAGTCACCTTATAAATTATACAATATTCTCAACTGGTGCTAATTGTGGAAGATGTAATCAGACCTATTTAGAAAATCTGAGCTGCCATGAGTCTCTGAATGGCAAATGTGATTAATAAAGAAAACAAATAAATAATGCATCTTTCAAATGAGCATAGATTCCATTCCTTTGCATAAAAGAATGTGAGCATTATCTGACTACGTCTAATGAAACCATTCACTGATCTCAGCCACTGAAAACAATCTTCTCGAAGAAGGAAAACTATTTTTTCTCACCCAAGCTAGGAGGACATTCTTCAAGTGAGCCACATTTTGTAAACTAATAGATTGAAAATAGATAGCAGGACCCCCCTAGTGCTCCTCTGTCTCTTATATTTTAATAAATAAAATATTATTAAAATATGTTAAGTAGCAATGAAGCCAGACATGAGTGGTGAATTTAGTAACAATGGCAAAGGCTTCATACTGTTTTGGATGGCACTCAATATACTACTGTGGAAAAATGTTAAGAACTTTTGGAATACTAATGGTGTTTAAGATGTGGCTAATTAAAATCAGGTTAAGCTGCTATGAATGTTGCCATACAAGAAAAAATAATTTAAACATGCAAAGATATAAATGCAGAGGGAAGATGAAATGAACATGGGAAACCTCAACAATGGAAGATAAATGAATGAAATTAGCATTTTAGGCAGCAGACAATTGTAATGGCATGGAATTGGCCATGTTCAGCCAGAGAGTTATGCTGTTTTTCACAGGCATAAAGAATATAGCAAGGACAGTACTAGGCTATAGTACAGTCAATGACCAAAAAACCACAATTTTTAACTCATGCATAATCCTGTCATTTGGTGATTATCCAAGTTTATGCTCCAACCAGTGATGAAGAAGAACAACTTGATAATTTTATAATTAACTTCAATCTGAAACCAACAGAACATGCAAGCAAGATGTGATAGTAAGGAGGACAACGTAGCTGGACTAGGAACAGAGGCAAGAAAAAGATGTATCGCTTTCTGTCAATTCAACAATTTATCACTAACACATACTTCAAACAACCAAAGTGATGCCTATATACTGTACATAGATATCACAAGACAGAATATGCAGAAGTTGATATATTATTAGTACAAGAAGGCAGAAAAGCTATGGAATGTGTGTATACCTATTTATTTATATCTCCAATGCCAGAATAATTATTAATGACATTATATGTGTAAGTCTGAACATGTATTTGAACTTCCCTGTGTTATAACTGAGAGGAATTTCTGAAACACTTTCTCATACAGCAGGAAAGGAATGATAAAATTCTCTCAAAATAAAAATTAATCAGAGTTACATACCCAATTTGCATATCAAACAAAGCATATTACTTGTGCCTGGCTACATGTAGATATGATGTGGATGTAATTTCATGTTCCACAAAATAGGCAGTTAAGAACTGGAAGCCACTACTCATTTGGGAGGAAAACTGTTCATGTGCATAAGCTACTTTTTAATAATTGTTTGGTATTTCATTTCTCCCTGTGTTCTCAGTAAACAGCTAGAGAAACATGGCTTCAGAGAAACCTGTGAGAGACAAGGGTGAAGTAAGGCTTCATTCCTGTAGCCCACAGAAGCTTTCTGTTTGCATGGATCAATTGAAGTCTCCTGTTTTCTCTTTCCTGTCTCTGGAAATACTAGCGGCTTATCGGTTCAAATATAAAACAACATTTTGAGAATGAATAGGACCTGAGCCAGTCAAGTCACCTGTCTGAGTGAAAAGCCAAAGGGCATTCCTTCCTCTGAATTTCCTTTAAAGCTGGCAAGGGTAGCTCAAGGCACTTTTGACACTAGTTTGGAAAACTCAAGACAGATACTACAACAAACAGTTGCAGCAGAAAGAAAGGCTTTGTTACAATTATTGGCTTCCTTCCATCACAACATTTCTAGCTGGAGAGCTTAACTCAATGTAGGTCACGGCAGAGGTGAACCTACAAAAGAAAGATTTATTCTTGTTTACTACTATGAGCTAGAAATGAGGATGTGTTTGTGGGAATGTAGCAGAAAGAGCAAATATTGCCATCCATCTGGTAAACTCGCAAGATTCATTTTTTTCGCCATGTACATGTATATATCTGAATTAGACTATGTCATTTCTCTGTTGTATAATATATGTGGGTATATGCATAATTTTGTATTTATCTATTTATTTATTTTGTCATGGTTATGTAGTGTATATTGGAAGTGGTGACCTGTTGAATGCTGTATGCAATGAAATTTCATTATAATGTATGCTGATAAGCATACATTCAAAGTGACAATTATTATATTCCATCCCATCCCATCCTAGCCTATCCTATCCTATTCTTACATACTTCAATGATAAAGAAACAACCTTTTCTTTTTTTTAAAAAAAGGTCACACTTTATTAGATGTTTTTATCAAGTAGCAATTAATTTCACAAAGGTACCAAAGTTAAGATGTGTCGTGTAAGTTGACTGCTTGGAGTCTGAGCAGATTAATTAATTAAATCAAAACACCCTGTAAATGGAAAAGATGAAAGGACTAATCCATTCTCTTCCCTTTCAGCTTATAAAGAAAAGATGAAGGAGCTGTCCATGCTTTCTTTGATCTGCTCCTGTTTTTACCCAGAATCTCGCAACATTAATATATACACATATGATGGTAAGTAGTTTTCAGCTGCAGTTGTTTTCCTTAGTGAAGTGTGTTATTCTTCCATGGGAGATGCACATTTTCCTCTTGTTTTATTCTTTAACAATGATTTCCAACCTGGAACCTACAAGATATGTTGACTTCTCTTCCCATGCTGCAAAACAGCACAGGATTATGGTTTCTGAAGTCAAGTATATTAGAAAGCAAGATGTTGGAAAGATTGATTTGACACTTGATGAAATATAAAATTTGTATGGTTCATGTTTGGAAATTGAGAGCATATCATGGAAACTCTCACAAAATGACTGTCATGTTATGATGATAAAATTCCACTTAAAAACAGCTTGTGCAGTTCTGATCATTGACATGTTTTTATCCGTATCTTTGCAAATAGAAATGTTTTACAAAGAATCAATATCCATTCACTATTTTTACGTTTTAAGTGTATCTGAGAGGTTTATATTGAGTTCAGAGACCTTCTTGTAACTAGAAAGTATGCTAAAAGCTGGCATTTTGCTTTTCAGTATACTAACTTCCTATTTAATTGTTGGGTTTAGAATTAAAGGAACAGAAAGCTTGATAGAAGAAGCTAGTAGAGATACCTCTGAGCACAGGAGTTATAATACTGACTGTTTGTCCTAAGAGAACTTTACTATTATTATTAAAATTAATATTTTAATATTATTACCATTCAACTAAATTATGATATATAAATATATCTTAAATACATTACATTCAGTAAAATTAGATAGATTATATTCATTTAGAATTTACTATAATTGTGAAATATCTATAATCTACTAATTACTACATTAGTTGCACCATAACTGACCATGCAATTTCCAGACATGGGAAATATATTTTTAATGCATATTCAATATTTTATATTTTGATATTAGTCTATCTATTCCTAAAACATTAATTCATAAAAGATGTATATTTTATCACTGATTTCATTACTGTAGTAATCACAGACCTATTTACATTTCTAGAGTCCCAATAATCCTTTTATTTTTATTTTCATTTTAATGGGTTTGAGTAAGTCTCTTGGCAATTCTCTCTAGTTTTGAGAGAGGTTTAAGTGACTGAATGGGTGTGTTAAACTCCTGCAAAGATACCAATTTTATACTTAAACTATTCCTCCCACCAAAAAAAATTCAACCGATCTATTACAATTATTTCAAACTAGTAGCATCTATTTCTTTTTGTGGCTCCTAAGCAAACAAAATACATCATTGCAAGCCCAAAATAAAATTTTGTTATTAATAGAAGCCATCTGTAAACATGCTTTTTCTCTGGCATCTATTTTAATGAAAAGTACCTATACCTCTTAGTTATGGCCATTACACTTCCACAAATTACCTATTATTGATATCCCATTTGAATTAGAAATTTCAACTTTACCTTCACAGATATGGAAGTCAAACATATCAACAAACGTGCCTCTGGCCAAGCTTTTGAACTCATCTTAAAGCCGCCATCTCCTGTCTCTGAAGCACCACGAACTATAGCCTCTCCAAAGAAGAAAGATTTGTCCCTTGAAGAGATCCAGAAAAAGCTGGAAGCTGCAGAAGAAAGGAGAAGGGTATCTAACCATATATACAGTAGAGTGTGTGCATGATGATATTTCTTGGGTTATTTTATAAGAGCCATGGCGGTGTAGTGGTTAGAATGCAGTACTGCAGACTACTTCTACTGACTGCTGGCTGGTTGCAATTTAGCAGTTCAAATCTGACCAGGCTCAAGGTTGACTCAGCCTTCCATTCTTCCAAGGTTGGAAGATTGTTGGGGGCAATAGGCTGAAATTGTAAACTACTTAGAAAAGGCTTTAAAGCACTGTGAAGTGGTATATAAGTCTAAGTGCTAGTGCTATTTTCAGGTTTCATTTGCAATCTATGACACATGTGGGTTATTGAACTGATGTGAAAAATTACATCTTAAAGCTCATTCTTGAGTGTTCAGAACTGAATCTATATTTGTTTCATTTAAGATATGTACAATGAGATCCATGTTTGAAAATGCAAGAAATTGTAACTTAAGATCAGTCAAATACCTGAGTGTTAAGAAACAGGATTGCTAATCACATAGATACATGTTTTTCTGACTTGTACTTCACAATAAGAAAAAATCAACTTAGATTACCAGAAACATACGCTTTATTACATCTGCCTGTAGTTTAGAAGCATGACCAGGTTACTGAGATTCTAGGGCAGAATTAAGCTAGCAAAAAAACTCCAGAAACACCTTATCAAAGAAAATAGCTTTAAACTTGTTAATTGATTTCACACAGTCTTAGAATTAAACCTCTCCCTAGTAATTACATTAGTGTTTATTAATCAGTAGTGTCAGCCTCATGCACAAGTGTCAATAGCAAATTACATAATTGAGAATCCCATTAGAATCCTAGTTCTCTGGCCATTTTTCATCTAGGGTTGTTAAATTCTCCTTTTTCTCCCTTTTTAACTGTTTTCATTATTTACTGAGACATAAATCATATTTTCTGATCTATGATCATAATAAAAGTGTTTGATTTGACATAAATCATTGTTCTATACATAGACATCTGAGAATAAATAGTAATTTATTCAGGATAAATAATATTTATGGAAAGTAATTTTGATGATAGTGTATACACGATAGTGTATTGCCTTTCCACTCCTTTTCTCATCTAACTTTTCTAACTGGAATAAAGCCTAAAAGATACAGATAAAGGAGAATACTTGTAGTTTATGGTTGAAATGAGGGATCCTTAGTGCTGTCTGAGCTTGGTTGTTTTCTTGCAGATGTTTCATTAATTGAACCAAGTAACACTGTCAGTTTAATGGGGAGTGAGTTTGCTCTCATTTTATATTCTTGTGGCTTGCCTTGTGAGAGCTGGTGGGAGAGCTTGATGGTTCTATGGTTGGGCTGTTTACTTGTCTGGCAGCTCCCTTGGGGTATTGTTTGCTTTTTGATTGTTGGTGTAATGTTAATCGTGGTGTTAATCTCTGCACATTTAGGTATTAATTGCTGGTGAGAAAGTGTTTTGATCTTTTTTGCTTCTCCCTTGGCTTGTTGACTGTCTCTTTTGAATAATATACAGATGTTGTTTATGTCTATGTGTCTGTTGATATCTGATTTGTCAGACTGCCAGGCTTCCACGAATACATTAGCATTTTTGGACTTGGCCTAGGATGGTCACAGTTCCCCAGCTGAAACTATGGATAAATCTGTCCATGTCCAATCAACAGCCCAACTAAGGAACCATTAAATCCATCAACACTGACAGGGCATGCCACTAGAATATAAAATGAAAGCAAACCCCACTCCCTACTAGCACTGATGCTGTTCCATAGTTTGAGTAATGAAATGTCTGCAAGAAACCACCAAGCTCAGAGAACACCAAGGATCCCTAAAATGCATCACCCTTCCAAATTCCTTCTAATTTGTCCCTGTGCCAATGGCTACTGCTCATGTTTATTTTCATTGTTGAGGTGTGGGGGGAGGGAAGTTACAGAATTTTGCTACTCTTGAGAAATACTATTAGTTGTTATCTATATATTTTTGCGGAAGGAAGATTCTATTTAAGATAAACTTTCTATTTAAGAAAGTTCTATGAAAGATTACTTTTTTGCTGATTTGCTGATCTGTCTAAATCAAACTCAATAAAATGACAGCAGTCTTCTAATATTTGGCACAAAGAAGAGGAGGTTTCCCTATTCTCAAAGCATCTGAGGGTAGGACAAGAAAAGATGGAAAGAGAGATCGAATATAGAGTTAAGGAGAAATTTCCTGACAGAAAAATTAATCAGTGGAACAACTTGTCTTCAGAGGTTGTGGATGCTCCATCACTGGAGGTTTTTTCAGAAGAGATTGGACAGCCATTTGCCCTGAATAGTACAGGGTTTCATATTCATGCAGGGGGTTGGACTAGAAGATCTCTATGATCCCTTCCAACTTTGTTATTCTGTATTCTGCAAATTTATGCATCAGAGATTGTATCTGTTTTATATTCAGCCCAGATCTTTTTGAGAGTTTCAAAATTTAAAGGAAAAAAACTGTTTAATCTTCCCCTTCCTATCCTTGTGGTCCAAAGAAGACAGAGGAATGATAAGAAAACTTGTACTTATCAACTTTTTTACTTTGGCAAACTAGTCATCTTTTGTCTCTGAACATTAGAGTTACACTAAATCTATTCTATTCTCAATATTTTTGTAATTGACTGGCTCATTTTTTTTATTTTTCAACTTTACACAGTCCCAGGAGGCCCAGGTGCTGAAACAACTGGCAGAAAAGAGAGAACATGAGCGAGAAGTCCTTCAGAAGGCTGTGGAGGAGAACAATAACTTCAGCAAAATGGCAGAGGAAAAACTGATACTGAAAATGGAACAGATCAAAGAAAACCGTGAAGCTAACTTAGCTGCTCTTATTGAACGTCTTCAGGAGAAGGTAACCAGGCTGGGATCAAACCAACATTCAGTCAAACAGAGCTGATAAAGCACCGCCGGTGGAGGGGGCAGGAGTCCTACTAAGATGTTGAGTAGGGATGTCTAAGTAGTAATGTTCAGGGTAGGTAAGATTTTTATTTATGCTTAAGTGAATGTGGGAGTAAGCCCCCCTGCCAGCAGGTTTTACAAAAGCTGAGGATGAACATTCTGACTATTCAGTCAAACTCCTGTCACTTTCTTGTACGTGACCCTCCCCCTGACTCAGGCCCCTGCTGATTCAATATGGTTCATAAAGATTCATCCCTCTTCGATATTGAATTCAGAATAATGCCTTAACTAATCTATGTACTCTTCCCCAGATAGTCACCTTCTTAAGTATTTTGACTTTCAGCCTGCAAAATTCTGGAAAATCTTGGCAATGAAATAGAGCATATCTGGAGAGTACCAGGCTAGGCACAGCTGAAGTATAGGAAAAGCTTCAGGCTTTAAAATACATAAATATGTCAATCAGGTGTACAAAGGGGATCACAAATATATATTTTGCCTGGAATAGAAGTAAGATCATACATGCAATATAACCTTCTGCTCCTTTTACCTTTCAAGATACTTTATGTCTATAAATTGGATATTTTGAGCATATAGACTGGATAGTTAACTGAATGTCTGAGTGCTAAAACTGAAGAATTGCACACTAGTGTCATTCCTGTACATATTTTTTCCTTCCACACACAATGTCCTTGACTTTCATGAAATTGGCTTGAAGCAAACCTTTATTAACATTAAAGTGAATATGCTTGGAAGAGCCTTCCAGATTAGTACTTTTCATAAATCAGTTGTGTGATTGCAGGACATTTCCAAGCATATTCACACTAAGTACATTAAGTTCAAGACTGAATTGATGTGATGTCTCATTTGTAGATCTTGTACTCTTCCTTACTTTTAGTTCTCAGTCATTTCTGTGAATACCAGAATAGGGCAGCTATATAAATTTATTGGCACAAATAATGTGTTCATTAATCTACCAAAATGTAGATTCTTGGAAAAGAAGTAGGCACATGATTTCACACAATACAGACTTTTCACATACAAAGACTTATTCAAACTCCTAGGTATCTGCAGAGGGGTGGGATGTGTCATGCCCTTGCTAGAGTCGGACTCTGAGGGAGAGGAGGAACGGCCAATAGGGAGTGGAGGTGTGGCTCCAGAGGTTGTGGAGGAGGATGGGGAAGGGCTGAGGCCAGCTGGGCAGTCAGAGGAAGAACCAGGCCCATCCCCTTTTCATCCTAGGACACGCAGGGAGGAACAGAGAGGAAAACAACTTGGCTTACGAGAGAGGAAGAGGCCATGATCCCCCTCATTGGTTGCAGCTGGGGAGAATAGTATACAAGAGAGAGGGTTAAAACACAGAGTTGCTAGAAGCAAAGCTTGTTTTATTTTGGGCTGAAGTTATCTTGGTTGGCATCCTTCCAACAGACTGTGCCTTGTTATCTCCTTGAAGTTGGTAATTACTTATCCTGGTCCGTTGTGAAAACTCCTTCATTGTAGTTTGTTTTGGTTTTTTATTTCACCTTCATCTGCTCATTGAGTTTGGACTGTATTGCTTGCTTAAGACTATTTTGAATAAATTTAATCTCCAACTGAGAATTATTGAACAGTGGGGCCAAGTTGGAAGCATTAAAGGACATTTGTTTACGTTTGGATTTTATTACGTTTGTGTTACACTCCAGGTCATCACAGGGTGGATGAGCAACTATCACATGGCAATGCAGACCCCATCTGCATATTATCTCATGAGACAGGCACACAAGGCCTAGTTTTGTGTTGTGAAGTTGCAATACACATGTCTTCAGTATTCTAGTGGGCACTAGATGCCTAGTCCAAACTGTTCTATTAAGTTTTTCTTTTATTCAATTTGTGAATAAAACAATTTCAAATTGACTGTAGGGTATGTGATAGACCAGATTCAAAATAGTCCTGAGAGAAAAGGGCAGGAAGGCAATCTTTATCATTCTGTTTTTCCTCTTCCTTGCAATCTGTTGTCTGAAATGGTATAGGGCTTCCTGCGTGAGCAGGGGATTCCAAGGTTCCTTCCAACTCTGTTCTTCTATTTGTCTGCTATCATGAATCAAAGAACAAGAGTTGTGTCCCGCTTCATTAAGAACGCTTCTTTTATAGCCCTATTAAAGCTAAAGTTGCTGACCAAATCTTGTTGCCATTTAACATTTCTTCCTGAAGAAAGAGAGCAAGTCGGATGTTAAACTTGTCTCTACTTTCCCCCTTTATTCCCAGGAAAGGCATGCTGCAGAGGTCCGCAGAAACAAGGAGCTCCAGGTGGAACTGTCTGGCTGAGCCCAACAGTAGAGGGAGTCGGATAACTCCCTTGCCTATATTATTACAGATCATGAAATATTAGTATAGGAAATGTATGACACGGTTTAAAAAAAATGAATCAAGAACTCAATAAAAACAAAACAAAAAAATTAAAACAATGCAGTCTTTGCAGAATGATTTGCTTGATGTTTAAAATTAAAACTTGGATCTTATTTTGTAAATACTTACATTTTTGTTAAAAAATACAAGTATTGCATTATGCAAGTTATTTCATAATCTTTACACGTCCTGTAACAGGCTTTTGATGTTGTCTGTTTTCATTCAGTTAAATTTGTTAGAACTTTGCTATGAAGTTCTTTGCAGCAAAATCCATGCCAAACTATACTTGTTCTAACTGAAAACCAAGTCAGCAGAAGGTCTATGGTGCTACTGTCGCGTCATTACTTAGTAACATGGAAAGCTTTGCACTCAATAAGCTTAAGTCAATAAGCCAATTACAGGTAGGCATTCTTATTTGATTAAATGGTCTAGAAAAATGAAGTCATAGAACATTAAGAAATCATAATTTATTTACAACCCCAGTGTTCTGCTATAGAAAAACCAGAACTGTGCTATACAGAAACAAGCTTCATGGGGTTCAGTGAAATTTAACCCCCGTAAACATCTAAGGGAAAAAGCCTTTAGAACACATTAGGATTAATGTGGTATAAAACAGTATTCAGTAAAGCTGCATGTCTTAAGTTTAGAAGAAAGAAAGAATTTTCCCAACAAAAAGGGAAATAGATAATAGATGCTTTTTAAAAGGTGTTGTATGCAGTAGGGAGTGAACAACCATATTTGACCAAATTACAAAATTTCCCAGTTTCAGTTTCATTGCCAGAAAAATTCATGGAATTTATAGGAATAAAAACTGCAGTCAGTTTCATTTTCTTAGCCTCTAGTCTAGTCCAATGTTTTTCAACCCTGGCAACTTTACAATGTGTGGACATCAACTCCCAAAATTCCTTAGCTTAGCTGGCAATGCCATCTGGAGAATTCTGGGAATTGGTTCACACACCTTAAAGTTGCCAAGATTGTGAAACACTGCTCTAGCGTTTCAAAATCTGGTGCGCCCCTCTTGTGATGGCACTACAATTCCTAGACTGCAGTTCCTGAAGTTCCATAACCCCACAGTATCTGAAGGATACGAGTTTGGGAAATAGGCATATTGTCTTGTCTCCAGTTGCTAAAATCTGTGAAGAGACCAAGAGCATCTTTGCAGATAGAATTCCAGCCTTAAGCTTTGTGATTTCATAACACTGCAAGATGTTCCGTGTGCTATTTTTCATCCCAAATCAGTGAGCTGGTGTTAATCCTACTAACTTCTGCTCTACAGTGTTAGTCTGTCCTGCCTACTTTTAAAACACTATCGAAATGATGAGGGCTGAAGCGGTCAGGATGACTAGCCAAGGTGCTTGTGTCAAATAATATCACCAATCTCAACACACATATTGTCTGAAACAGCTGCCAACTTGAAGGTATCCCAAATTCTCCTGGAAATTGCTGCCTGCGTATTCTACTCTTCATTAATGCTATTTTCCTGTATGTCATTGTGAGCAAGCTGTGATTAATAAAGAATTGGAGTTCTGTGAACTGAAAAAAAAGTGTCATCTGTTGTCTCACTTGATGCCTTTTATCAACACAATATTAATAACTAGTATTATGGAATGATCTTGTTATTCTTATATTAAACATGAGATGGGGGATTTTTTTGTTAATATTCTGCTACTTTTTTAAACTTCACTATCATAAGTTGTGAGTTATCCATTCCAGCATAACATTTGGTAAATGTAAAATCTCAACTGTTGGGAAGAATGAGAAGATGTAGAACAATTTAAAATTGGTAACAAACTCAAATATTGGAAATATTTTTGTAGGCAGAGGAAAGATACAACTGATTCAATTTTGATGGTTCTAATTACTTTTCCAAATTCTGCATAGCACTGCTAGGTTGATCTTTTGCACTTCTGTTAGATGACGGTAAAGCTGATAAATAACAGGAATGTCTATTTGATACAGGAGAAGTGTGGTCAAAATATTATTGCACAAATCAGGAATCAGTAAATATGTATCTCTTCTCAGTAGCTCAGACATTTTTGAACAATTATTTATCTTATTTAACTTAATTTAATTTAAAGGCTGCCCATCTTACTTCAAGGTAATTCTTTAGCCTGCTAAATTCATACTATACCACCTATGAGTCACTGGACATTCCATTAAAACTACTACAAAAATATATGAATGGGAGAAAAAATCATTCATACTTTGTGACCTCTTATTTGGGTTATTACAATGCATATTACATGGGCCTGCCCTTGAAGAGCATTCAGATAATTCCAATGGTGCAGAATACAGTCCCATGGGTGATTGGCACATGTGACACCAGTCTGCTTTTGAGTGTCTTTCAAGGTGCTGGTAGCCCCACAATGTATATAGAGCCACATTACTATGAAGCCATCTCATTCATACATGCATACGTAGATACACACACACACACACACACACACACACACATACAAAATACAAGTGAAAATAAAGATAGTAGGGGAATAAAAGAAGGGGAAGAGAGAAGTGTGGGGTAAAGGGAAAGGAGGGGGAAGCATTAACTTTCAACTCTTTTCAGTGCAGTAGAATAAAAGTAATCAAATTACAGCCTCAGCCTTTGAGCCATCTCTTTCTGACTGCTAATGGCATTGACTAAGGAGTGTTGGCTGGCAAGACCCCAAAGAAAAGCCTCTTCCGCTGTGGCACCCAACGTCTGGAACATCTTTCCCCTTGAAGGATAAAGGACCCTTCATTACCAGGTGTCAGAAAGCTAACAAACCAGATACCAATCTGGAACCAGTCTCTAGGGAGGGAATTCCGGAATTAAGAGAGATACCACTGGTGGTCAATCTTCTAGCAGCAGTTCACTGCATCTCAGGATAAGAGAGCAACCAAAGAAAAATTCTGAAGAGGATTTTAGGCTATGGTAATCCTCCAGGAAGATGCATACCTTTACATACAGTGGTCCCAAGAGAGTTCTTTTTACCCATTTTGAAAGAGGGTGGGGCTACCCATGTCAGGATATATAAATTTCTGGACTAGAAGGAAACAATGAGATAAAGAATTGAACAGAACCAAGGTCTGAAACAAAGCCCGAATATAAAGTGCAAGTGTGCGCGTTCTAATATACGCAGTAGTTTTTCCTTCAAATCAGTGTTAAAAATCCTTTAGAGAAGAGGGAAAATAGAGTTCAGCAAAATTTACTTGTCTGTCAAGTTGTTACAAGGAGGCACAATACATAATCTCATTGTACAAGGTGCAATGACAATAAAGTAAAATAAAGTAAAACATAACCAGGATGTATATCTGTATAAATAGGATTGTTTGGAAAGCAATATTCAAGTTATTCCATAGAAAAATAACAGTGATTAGACTGACAAATTTAGAATGACATACAAGGTACCAAAACTGAAAACCAAAAGATAGAACAATAGCCTGAAATCAGCAGCAAGACCAGCATCAGCACAAATAAAAATCAAAGATATTTATTTAAGTAACTGGTGGAATCACAATATTGAAGGCATTCCTCCAAAGATAGGAAATTTCACACCCAGATTACCACATCTGAATAAATCTAAGTTCAGATAAAATGATCATAAGCAAATCCCATTCAAAAACATTTATCCTGAACTGGTGCATATCAGAAAATACTTTCCATCAAATTCTTTGTCTCAAACTATGCTGGATCTTATACGTCAAGATAAAAAACATTGAGATATGCCGAAAAGCAAATAAGCAGCTGGTACAACTTGTGAAGAATAGGTACTAATAACTACAGTTAAATGTCTGCAGAGATTCTGTCATCCAGGTCATGGTTGTCAACTTTAGAACCCGGAGCACTACCCAGGTGACCCTGAGGACACAAATAAACCTCCAAATGCTTCAATGACCCTCTAAAACAGGGCTGTCAAACTTGTGGCCATGCACTGGCCATTATCCCGCCCAGTTTAACAAAGGGGAAAAAAGTCCCGATACGTCATGTGACGCTGCCATGATGATGTGAGTTTGACACCCCTGCTCTAAAAATATGCAGATTACCAGCTGTCTGCAAGGAATATAAAACCTTCCATTCTCCATTATGCTGTCAGAGCTGAATAAGCTTCTTAGATAAGAAGCGAAACGTCTTCAAAAGAAGTCCAATTGCCTCCTGAAAAAGCAGCTTTGGGATATAACTATGGTCTTTCTGTAACCAAGTCATATCACCTAGCTTCAGCCACTGAGCCAGTGAGCCATGATCAACAGCAGCTCCATGCAGGCTATTAACTACCCACACCTGAGGTGTCAGAGGTAGGCACCATCAGGAACCCAAGAAAGGCCAATAATTCACTTGAGGGAAGTGATGCTGAGACCTTGCCACAGTTAGTTGTTTTTTCTCACCTCTTTCCAACTCTCTAAGTCTAGTTTCTAGTCAAAGAAAAAGAAGCGAAAAAGCGCAAACTGCAACTGAGAGAAAGAGTTACCATTGCCCTTGATTCATTGGCCGTCTCTTTGGTAGGCAAGTAAACCCAGCAGGCTGAAGGTGTCAATGGGAGGCTCACAGAGTAATCTCACTGGATGAAAAAGCTATGCCCAGCCTAAAAGGCTGGAGAGATACCGATCATGTATTAATAGTCGTTAGAAACAAATACCTCAGTTTCAACATATTTTATCTAATTTCACATTGGATTTTTTTTTTTAAAAAAAATGTGAAATTGTAGCTCATCACCAGGGGGCGACATAGGACCATGAAGCAAGGAGAAGTCATTCTAAAACATGGGGCAAAGACAGTTATTATTTGGTTGAATCATACGTGGGATGCATAACTTTTATTTATTTATTATTTATAGCATGCCTTTCTTATTTTTATATATAACTCAAAATGGCAAACATACCCAACCGAACTTTTTAAAATGAATTTGTCATCTGCTTCTACAAGTGAATAAGCCTTTAGCATGCTCAACTCTTACACATGTAAAGCGAATGTAATGAACACAGTAGAAATCTTTAGTGGTGTTTAATCATCCAGTAAGGACTAACCATGCTGATACTGCTGCTTTAGAAATGCCTCCTTTAATGGTACAACTGGGTCATTTTATATTCTGCTTTCATTTATTTATTCCTTTATTTATTTGATTTCTGTAGCTGCCCATCTCAACAAGTGATTCTGAGCAGCTATAGAATGATAAAGTGTAGAGGGCATGTTCCTTTGGATAGGAACATGTATTACTTGGAAGGAAGTATTATTTTCTGGTATAAACACCAAAGATATGTTTTAAGCATTAAAAAAACCCTAGCATCTATAATATAATTTGTTAAAAGAAATTTAAATTTTAAATATTTGCTGATATCCCAGCACTGTTATTAGTAGCTCCCTCGGTTACAAAGTCCAGGATTGAGGTTCAGCAATACTGCAAGCATAAATTCTACATGTTCTAAGTCAGGATGCGTCATATGTTGACCATGCCATGCCCAGTTTAGTGAAGTGGGGGAACTTGCAACACGTCATGTGACGATGTTGTGACAACGCAAATTTGACACCCCTGCTCTATGTGTCTTCAAGATTAAAACACTTTTAAAAAATCTGGTGCACTAAATTTAATCTTTGTAATCCAAAATATTTGGAGGATAACAAGGTGGGTTGGCAGAAAACACACAAACTTTGCAGCTGCAGTTAAATAGAACTTGTTATTTGAAGAACAGATTTGTGTTTTCACGTATGATGTGCTTTTTCATGAACTACACATCTCAGATCTACATAAATCTAAGCAGGAGAGAGAGATTGACCCTTATAGTATTTATCAACACTAGTTATATTTTGCAGGTCTAACTTCTCACTTCTCTTCCTTTTACTTATGTCAATTAAGGTGTCTGCCAAGTCACTTTTGCTAACCTGCTTCTTGTTTGGGACTTAAACCATGTTTTCTTCTTCTTTTAGATAATAGATAATAGAATTCTTTATTGGCCAAGTGTGGTTGGACACACAAGGAATTTATCTTGGTGCAAATACTTTCAGTATACATAAAAGAAAAGATACATTCATCAAGAATCATAAGGTACGACAGTGATAGTCATAGAATACAGTAAGCAATCAAATCATACTAGGAAACAGTCAATATAAATCGTAAGGATACAAGTGACAAAGTTACAGTCATACAGTCACAAGTGGGAGGGGATGGGTGATAAGGAATGATGAGAAGATTAGTAGTGCAGACTTTGTAATAGTTGAACAGTGTTGAGGGAATTATTTGTTTAGCAGAGAAATGGCTTTCGGGGGGGAAACTGTTTTTTATAATGGATCTTGTCTACTCCTGTCAAGATCATCTTCCTTACTCTGTATAGAAAACAGTTATTTTACCTTTACCTTCCTGCTCAATATTTAATAATCCCCTGCAGTATCTTGAAGGCTATTTCTGGCTCTGTCATTTGTTCCTAAATGGATTGGTTATATAGTAAATAACTGTTACTTGCTTTGAAGTGTCCCTACCACATCTCAAATGTCTTTCCTAGAGAGGTATTGTACTTCTCTTGACAGACCCACTATCTGATAGATT